ATAAGAAGCTACAGATAAAGCAATGTTCAGAAGCATGCTGAGAACCCCATGGCGTTCAAGTTTGTAGTTTTTCTTTAATTTATCACAGCTTATTCAAGATGAACCACAGAGAGCCTCTGATTCTTGACAACAAATTCTCTTCATAGCAGGCAACTGGACAATAGGTCAGGGCAAGCTCTTCTCACGGAGGCTGCTCAACGGGTGATAGGTGTAAATGTCTGCTGGATTCCAGAATTTAGGCAAGGCAGCGTGCACTTGAACACTCCCAACTCTTTAGACGTGTCATTTTTCAAGAGGATGGTAGAGAAGCACAGGAAATTTCACCTGTCAGTTGGCCAACTCTGAGACTGGAAGGAACTTACTTCATCGACATGTAATAGGAAAATTATCACTACCAGAGCATAAGATCTACCAAAATTTCTATAGTACAAGGAAACAAAACACTATTTGAAGACTTCAAGAAAGAGCATATATTTGAAGATGCTTTACTACAGGAAAAGAAAGCACTAGAAAATGTCTGTTGGGTCCTCAAAAGCATGCGAGTAGATCTGGTATCTATCAAACAGTGACCCATAAGTTCAGAATGCAAAGAAACGAAAAAAATTTCACTGTGGAGGCAAGAAAGCAAAATTGAGTCATTGATAATCAAATCAGTAACTTATAGTATGAGTGTGAGTTTTTCCAGGGAATCTTCCCCGCCTCCGCATGGACAGTTAGTGCTCATAGGTCAGGTTTCCCAAAACACAATTCGCTCATCTTATTAGCTCTTACTTCCTGTGCTGTTCTGTAATTGCATTTGGTGTCTGTCTCTGTCCTTAGAATGTGGGCTCCTCCAGGAAGTGACCGTGATCTACATAGGTGTTTATACCCCTCCCAGCAGCATAATCTGACCAGTGGGCCCTCATTAAGGTCTTCATAAATGTATGAAATGGAGTTCACAATCAGTTTGGCTTTCGTGTTGGTAGACATTTTTGTTTTTCCAATCAACATGCAGAGAACTGAGTCTGTGACCAAAGTATCATAGAACATAGACCAGAGTCTGGGGTGTGGGAACAGAGTTGGAAGGTATGGATTGAAAACAAAAGACTTTTAGAAAAATAAGGCTAAAGTAGTAGGCAAAGGAATAAAGATATCATTTGGTAAATAGTAAATTTTAAAGGTAAATTTAAATTTTAGAATTGAGGAAAAAATTTACTTTCCTTAGGTCATTCTAGAAGTCAACAAATTAACTAAGAAATTTTAAACTGCCTTTTATCACAAGCTCAGATTTCCTTTTCTTTCTTGCTCACTTAACGTTTTTTTATCTCTCCCATTTTCTTCTTTGAAAAAAAAACATCTTTCCCATGCATTGACTTGCCAGTGATGTCTATAGACATCACAGTGCTCAGTGTCACAACAGATAAACTCTAAATCTCAGCGACAGAAACAAAAATTATCCCTCAATAAAGTCTAAAATGATGGGGACTGGCTTTCACGGACTTTCAGGGGCTTGGGCTCCTTTTATTTTATGGGCCTACCCTCCTGGAAAGCCTTGGAATCCTCTCCACTCCGCTGGCAAATAGAGTTCCATTCAGGGACCACATAGAGGTCCAGAGAGGTTTTTGTGGACCAGGACCATAAGTGGAGCACATCATGTTATTATATCCCAGTAGTGTAGCACTCAGTCACATAATCACACCTCATTGCAAGGGAGACTGGGCAATGGAGTCTAGCTGTGGCTCTGATAGAGAAAAAATGGCTTTGGTGAGTACTAGCCTGCCTCAGCCACAAACTCCAAGGTATTCCAACAGTAGATCATTACAATCTACGGCACTCTGTGCAGCCCTCTTACTTTCTCACTTAATCCTTGCAATAATCTGATGGAATCCAGTGCTGGTATAGTATGTTCAATTTAGTAACCTATACCTCTGAATAACAATCCAGGATTTGTACCTCGTTCTGACTCCAAAAGCCCTCTGTACCATGCTGCATTCTTCATTTAAATCAGGAAGTCGAAGGGAGATTATAACCTGACTGAATTGTGATTAAATTTAAATGATCATGTAACTGCGCATCATCAGTAGATTCCATCTTCTGTGTTTTTCCAACTGGAGTGATTGGCACTTATGCCAGTTCACCTAAACTCTTTCACATTTTAATGTATAGCATAAATCTGAAGCGATCCTGGCAGTCCCTGGTATAGGCATGGAGTGATATGCACTGTTTCATCATTTATATCTCATTGGTGCTAACAGATGGGCGCAAATTCGCATTTTCAGAGTGAACACCTTTATACTTCACACTTTTAAAATACATTTTAATTATCTTCACAACATTTAAAAAGTAGACATTCAAGATATCCGTTCATAAGTGAATAATAGCTAAGTTAATTTGTGTAAAGTATGGTGCTAAGCATTATATATACACCTGCATATTACATATTTATAGATATAACAATAAAGATGTGTATATACATTACTTCACTTAATCCTCAACATCATTTAATGAAGTAAGTGTTTGTTTTTTTTTTAAGATTTTATTTACTTATTTTTAGGGAGGGAAGGGAGGGGGAGAGGAGAGAGAGAGAGAGAGAGATCAATGTGTGGTTGCTGGGGATTATGGCCTGCAACCCAGGAATGTACCCTGGCTGGGAATCGAACCTGGGACACTTTGGTTCCCAGCCCGCGCTCAATCCACTGAGCTACGCCAGCCAGGGAAGTAAGTGTTTTTATTACCAGAATTTTATTGACGTGGAAATCAAGGCACAGGTTAAGCAAGTTGACGGAGGCACGAGAGATGAACAACAGAGAAAATAAAACAGGGCAGCCTATTAGTCTAAGTCTCCTGTAATTTTCCCTCAGTTCAAGTTCACTGGTTTTATTTTGTGTTTTGCCATTATCCTTGTCGTATATTATTCCTATTCTTCAAAATACTTATCACTTGGCATTCTCTATTTTTGCTTCCCAGCAACCTCATTCATTACACCTTTACTCCATGAACACGTTCATATGAGTATGTAAAACCTAATAGTTCCTATTGCTTCATTTAAAAAAAAGCCTTGCTATTCAAAGCACGAAGCAAAAACATAATTTAGCTGTTTCCTAAGGTAAATCCATAACTTATGGGGAGAAATCCTTTCACTTCCTCTAAAACAAAAAGGATCTATACACACATTTGAGGTACTGAAGGAACATCAATTTGTTTTAAGACATATTCAACTTCATATCTTCTGTCAAATTTTGGGTGCCTAGCATAAAATTGGAGACAACTTTACAAAAAGAAAGCTTTTGAAATATTAGTCATTGAAATGACTCACTCTCTAAAAGAAACTAATTGGGAGTTAAAGAAAGATGACTTTTCGATCTCAGAAATTAAACCCTGATCAATTTGTTCATCCATTCAGTCCTTTATGAATGTGCTGATACGGAAACTTGCGGGGGGTGCGGGGCGGGGATGAAAAACACTGAAATTGAACTGGCCACTAAAAATGTTCTTCCCGGTTTACTTTGCTACCTAAATGCCAGTTGGAACTTCAGACAAAATGTAATTTGTAGAACAGCCTTCTGGCACATTGTATCCATCAAACAAAATCGACAAGGTGCTAGAAGACTGAGGAGTCATTTTGTGTCTGCTGGTGATAGAAATCCTCGACAGAGCTTGCTCAACTCTTGTGAGGCACCTTTGTCAGTTGTGCCTAAAGCAGGCCCCTAGTAGGTGCTCAGTAAACGTGTTGTTAAAATCAGTGAGAACAAGATGGAATTTACTCAAAAGCAGTAGGAGAGTTTTGCATTCTCTCATTGCTATCGATAAGCTCTCAACGACTTTTGCAACTGGTTTTGCAGGTCATCCAAGCCACTGATCTTACCTCAGCTCTAATACAGTTAGAAGGAGAAGGGGCAGAGACATTTTACACTGTGAATGTAGCTCTTTGAACTTCCCTAAGTAGCCTGGGTGGAGGCCCCACCGTTTTAGGTTGGCAGGTTTGTAAGGCACTAGCAATATCCGCCCTTCTACCCATCCCCCCCACTCCCCGCCCCGTCCACTCCCCCCCCCCCCTCCGCTTCCTGGGTTTTGGTCCTTGTCCTCGCCGGAGGCCCACTCCCCGCTCCCCCCCCCCACGACGGCTGGGTCCGCAGGAACCCTGACAACTACCACTTGCCTCAAACTTTGTTTCCAAAATAAAATAGGTACTGATCTGTATATTTTAAATCACTACAGCATAAGGTCTTCAAGTGAATGTCTTATTTGGGTATTAAAATCTAACCTACGATAAATGAGCTAGTACAAAAAGACTTCCATGATTGCCCCTAACCCTCCATATGAGAAGGTGGTCTTATGCACTCGGAAGTTGTAGGCTTTCTGAAAGCAACGGCGTCTCCTTCCAGGCCTCACCTCCCGTCAGCTCCGTCCGCTCTAGGGAGCCACCTCACCCCCACTTCGCGCCCACCCATTGTCCCCTCGCAGCTGTCAATGCGCGCAGATCCCGAACTGCCGATTGGAAAACCTTCCCGTCACTCAGTCCACACTCTGGGACCGGACGCTACACTCCCTATTCCCAGCCTTAAAAGGTCTAAGACAGCGTTCTCGGAGCCAGCAGGTAAAGCCGCGGCAGCGGAAGGGAGGAAAAGAGCGAGGGAGGAAGGAAGAAAGGAAGGAAGAAAGGGAGGGAGGGAGGGAGGAAGTAAGGGAGGGGCCCGCCCGGTGCTGGGTGGGTGGGGGGAGCAGCGGTTTGGGGGCGAGCGCCACATAACCTCTCCAGGCCAGACCGTGCCCTGTCCCTCCCCCGCCCCACGCCAAGCCCTGATCACAATGCCCAAACCGCGGAGCCACTCTCGCAATCCAGCCCCCTGACATCCTTGGGGACAGTTACCACTGCGAAGCACCGAGGGAGGGGAGGGGTGGGCCGCGGGGATAGGGTGGAGGGGTTTGTGAAAGGTCCCGGATGTTGCTGAACTAGAGCCCCTTCCAGAGGGAGTAACTGGCGCAGGCGCAGGCCCACAAGGCAAGCTAAGGTGGGGGTGGGGAGGAGTTTTCTTTCTGGTTTAGACTAAGAGTTCCTGAAGCTAGAGGGGAAGACTTAGAGTGTAGCGGTGTGGAGAAAGGAAAAAAAAAGGAGCTTCCTGCCCAGGCGCACTTGGGACTAGAGAAGTTGGAAGCTGAGCAGGTTGGGAAGGAGGATTGGTGGCGGGAGAGGACGCGCGCGCTCCTCTACTCGCCCTCTAGCGCGGGCGGACGGGACGCGCGCGCTACAGAGCGGCGGTTGTGCTGGCCCCCAGAGCTGTGGGCACCAATCAACGGTTGCCATAGCAGCGTTTGACGTCATCGTGCGTGTGGTGCCCCTGCTGCCGGGGCTGGTGATTGGAGGAAACCCCGTGTCTGCGGAGTGTCTGTAGCCTGTGAGCAGTAAGATCGAGGGACAGAGTCTCAGCCTCGCCGCCACTGCTGCCGCCGCCGCCCAGAGACTACTGAGCCCCGGTCGTTCCGCCGCCACCCACTCGGGACACAGGTAAGGAACCCGGCCGCCGTCGCCTCGCCCCACTCTTTCCCCTTCCAGACCAACCTAATGAAAGCGTGGGGACCATCCCCGCTCCACGTCCCTTCAGCCCCGCTGGCCCGGCGGTAGCGGCGCTGGGCTAAGGCGGAGTCTCCGCAAGCGGAGACGGGCGGCGGCTTTCCTTCCGCTGGACTCGGGCGGGTGGCTCGCGCCTGCCTCGGGCTACTTGCTTCCGGATCGGCGCCTTAGCCCGGATAAGCGCCCGTTCCTGGCTCCCCTCCCCGGGGAGCTGGAAGGGGCGCCCGCACGCGAGATCCCCGGGGACCTGCTTGTCGCCTGTTCCCGGGGTAGCTGAGGCACCATTATCCGAGATCCTTTCCAGTCGGTACTTAATGTCGGTACACCTTCCCTCTCGCCGCCTCGCTCCTATTTTCCGCCCGAGATAATGACTCGGTGGCTGCGGGCAATGCAGTGGCGCAGGTGAGGCCGCCCCCTCCCCGCGGCTCTCCCTGCCCCCAGCCCGTTCCTCGGCGCAGCCTCCGCGCTTGGCGCTGCGGCGGCGGCGGCACCCAGCACCACCCCCAGCTCGGGCGGCGGCGCAGCGGGAGGCCCGGGCTTGGGGACCCGGTCCCGAGCAGAGGCCCGCCTGGGAGGCGCCCGCCAGGTAGACTAGGGCGAGGCCACGCTTCGCGCGGTGTGAGTGTGTGGGGGGGTCACCTGAGACAGAGCCGAATTTCCTGGATTCCGCGGGGGAGGGGGCTCGAATATTCCGGGGTGGGGGAGGGGGCTGGCCTTTTCCTCTGGGGAATGGGGCCTCCCAGCCCAGGTAGGGTAGAGATGGGCAAGACTATGGGCAAGGCTATGATAGGCCTGCGTATCTCGCTCGCCTACTGGTTGGGCTAAATTGGAGGGTCTCTGCGATCTGTTTTAGGGTGCGTACCCTGCTCTGCGGGGTCGGGAAGCCTGAGCTTAACAGCCGGTGGTGGCCCGGCTGGTCAGGGTGTGGCTCTTGTCCCCTCCCCCACCTGCTGCAGCTGTCGGGCCGATACAGACTAAATGAGCACCAGCGGTGTCGGGTGGCGGAGGGGACGCCGGTGGGAGAGTGGGGTGTGTCCAGCGCCCGACTGGCCTTGGTTTTGCTTCCGCGGGCGGCGTTGGCCTCGCTGGCCCTTTTGCCCCCGGGGCAGGCGGCGGCTCCCCTGTACCCCGGGTCGGGCGGGAGCGCGCTGCTCCTCCCTCCAGCTCTGGTGAGGGAAAATTAACACTCGGCAGTAGGTTGGGCTCCTTGACACAGATCCGCCATGACAAAGAGGGAGAGTCGGGGACTTATGCAGAGGCACAAGCTTGGGCGGAGCCAAGCAGTGGGGGTTGCAGATAGCGCGGACTCAAGGATTTGCGCTTTTAAGTCCCGGTCGGCCGGTTTTCGGTACCCTCAACTCGACGTCTTAATGTCGGTTAAGGGTTAAATGGGTGCGGCGAGGCCTTGGAGGACTAGTTATTATGTGAGAAACCCAGTGCACTTCCCCCTTGTACCCTAGGGGTTGGGGAGAAAAACCTTTATACTGGTTTTAGACGATTCTGTGTTAGAAGCAACCTTAATCTGAGAGCATTTTTTTGAGTTATTGCGGGGGGGGGGGAATTACGCGGTCACAAATTTTTAATAATTTTAGCATTGAAACACTGCCTTGCATTCAAGGTAGCTGATTACTATTTGTTTAAATACTGGGGATCTGTTCCGATTTTTCTTTTTAAGTTTTGTGGGATTTCCCTGGGAAGATAAAGGATCTAGTATTGGTGAATCAATTCCCATAGTGACAGTGCTTCCTCTGTTCACCTTTAATTAGTGTACTTCAGACTGTATATTTTTATTTTAAATCGTTTTTTATGTTGGGTCTCTGTATGTTTTGGTATCTGTGTGTGTTTTAGCGCTTTTCAATTAAATTTTGACTTCTATGTTAAACCGGAATAATGATACCGGAATCACTGGTCCCACTGACAGCACTTAATATATAAATTTAGTGCTCACAAATGGTAAGAGTTGAAGTTCCAGGACTCATGGGTAAATTTTGTTAAGCGGGTGTGTATATAACAAGATACAGCTAAATGAGGCCTTAAGGTCAGTTATCGATTTTTTTAGTGGTTATTTTGTATTCAAAATATCTTTAAAACAAATTTGGTCATTCTTTCCAGAAAATTATCCTTCTGTGGTCAGCTGGCAAATGTTACAATGATCAGTGGAGTGGGGGTAATATCCACTAAAATTTAAACTTAAAACAGTCCTGAAAAAAGTAGGTTTTATTAAAGGAAAAAAAACATGAATTACGCATTAAACTGGCATGAATCGTGATTCTGGAAGTATGATGGAAATGTGTTGTTCTTCGTAGGCAGTGTTTTCACTAAAGAAAAGCTGCTTAATTTTTGATTACTTAGTGATATTGGAAACTGGAGTTGAAATTTTGGCCAAGTAAGATAAGGGTTGGTTTTTAAGGTGGCCTCTGTGTTTTGACTACATGTGAAATTAGGATCTTCTGAACAAAGAAAAGGTAATGCAGTTTAAATTTTGCTAAACTGATGTTAATGACTTTAAATTTTACCCTTTGAAAGCTGATATGCTTTTTTTTTCTTATTCTGATGATTTTTGTATGTGTGAGGTTGCATTAAATTCCTCCTGTGAAGAATGTTCTATACGCAACCAGTCTTCCATAGGCTGTTGGATTTGAGGTGTTAGATACAGCTTTTTAATTTTTTAACAGGTATAATTTTGAGTCTATTTGTTTTGGTGGGAAACATATCTAAATACTTTTTTTTTTCTGCAGAACATCCAGTCATGGATAAAAATGAGCTGGTGCAGAAGGCCAAGCTGGCCGAGCAGGCTGAGCGGTATGATGACATGGCAGCCTGCATGAAGTCTGTAACTGAGCAAGGAGCCGAATTATCCAATGAGGAGAGGAATCTTCTCTCGGTTGCTTATAAAAATGTTGTAGGAGCCCGTAGGTCATCTTGGAGGGTCGTCTCGAGTATTGAGCAAAAGACAGAAGGTGCTGAGAAAAAACAGCAGATGGCTCGGGAATACAGAGAGAAGATTGAGACCGAGCTAAGAGATATCTGCAATGATGTCCTGGTGAGAATCCAACATTTCATTTTAGCCTCACTGTACTATAGGGTTCTTATAATGAAGTCAGTTTTGATACTGTCATTTTTTACCTTGGTTTTTGTTTTAAAGTTTGTTTTAAATCTGTCCCAAGAGACTATAAAAATGACTGCAGTAATTTTTTTTGTACTAATTAAAAAGATTAGTAATATTGCCATTTCAGTTAGTGGTTGGAGTATTGGTAGTATTTGTAGAGTTAATTTTTTAAATGCACATACGTGGATGTAGTAACTTTACATATCTTGGTTTTATGTAAAAGAGGTGTAATAGGAGACCCTTTGTAGACATAGTACCTACCCTTCCCTGGATTAGCCACTGTAATGTTAATGTAATGAGTCAGCCATGCAGGAAGCACTGGCATCAGTTACTCTTGCCTCTTCCTGCATTTTAAGTGTTGGAAGTTAACTTTGTACACAGACATTCACAATAAAAGGTTATGAATAACTCAAGCTTGATTATCCAGGTTTAGTCAAAGTATTTCAGGTATTCGGTATTTACTCTGTTGAAGCACTGCCTTTCTAAAAGCTTTAAAGAATTAAACTACTTTTTTTTTAACAAATGATGACTGACTCAAAAGTGTAATCTGAGGATAAATTGGTGGAAGATCCAACCATTTAGCATATAATGTCATTCATTCGTGTATATGTGTGTGTATATATATATCCATATGTTACCTATTTAATGAACCAGGAGTTTTGGGGATAATATTTAAGGTGCCGTTACTAAAATAATTCTTCTTATATAGCAGGACTTTAGGTTACACATTGGGTAGAACTCTGGTATATAGAGAGAGACAGTATCAGTTTCTCTGGATGGGCTACTGAATCTGGGACTCAGTATGGAAATCCAGGTGCACTATTTATTTGAATCTTGTTCATGGAAGAATTACTATAATGAACAAATATATAGGCTTTTGTCTAAGTTGTGATGGCATTATGATTCATTTAACTAGTCTTTAATTACTAGTAGAATAGCTTTAGTTCCTAAGTTATGAGTACTTTCCTTAAGTGGTTTCTTCTTTTTTTCCTTAAACGATTTTACTTATTCTTTTTAAAGAGGGGAAGGGAGGGAGAGAAACATCAATGTGTGTTTGCCTCCTGGGTGCCTACCCCACCAGAGGGCCTGCAACCCAGGCATGTGTCCTAACTTCAGGCTGTCTTTAGTCTAAAGAACAATAAATATTTTTTTTATCTTAATTAACATGAGCTCAGGTCTTCTCATGTGGTATCTGTTTTGGGTTCATTTTAAACTGCTTTTATTTGAAATCCTTACATTGAACACTGCCATTTAATTCTAAGATGAGAAAAAAGAATTCTGTGATTTATTTAAGCTAGATGACAATGCTTATCTTTTACTTATTTATTTTTTTAATATTTATTTACTTTTTTAGAGAGAGGGGAAAGGAGGGAGAACAAGAGGGAGGGAAACATCAATCTGTGGTTGCCTCTCACATGGCCCCCACTGGGGACCTGGCCCGCAACCCATTTAATTGCAAAGGTAATAAGAATATTTAAAATTTAAAAATGATCATGTTTTCTCCAATAAAAAACATGAGGGTCCAAAGTGTCGGACCCTCCCAGGGTGGCGCATTGTCCAGTGCACCAAAAGGCTGCGGGTTTGATTCCTGCTCAGGGCACACACCAGGGTGGCAGGTTTTGGCTGGGGCACATACAGGATGCAGCTGACATACCTCCCTCCCTCCCTCCTCCCCCTCCCTCCCTCCCTCCCCCCCTCCCTTTCCCCTCCCTCCCCCTCCCTCTCCCCCACTCCTACCCCTCTCACCCATCAAATCAATAAACACACCGAGTATTTAGAAATAAATTAGATTTTAAAATAATTATTACTATACTCCTTTTAACAATTAATAAACATAAGTTTATGTATGAGTTTTAGGATTCTGCAACATTTTTTTAAAATGTGCTGGGTTTTTTCCTCCCTTGCTCTTTATTAACTGGTCCCTATGTACATGTTACTGAATTTTGTTCGCTCTGGTGGTTTCCCCTCAATTATTACACCTAATCAAATAATTTTTGTTTTGGTTTCAAAGGGTTTGTTATACATTATAATTTTCCTTAAGACAAAAGTCAATTTTAGGATTAAGGGGGACGAAGTAACATTTACCCTCTACTAACAAGTTTATTTGCTATTCCAGGTAGGTATTTGCACGTTTTCCATGCTGAAAGTATAAAAGCTCCTGAGGATTTTCCTAGGAAAAGCCTCGTAGCAGTTTTGATTTTGCTTCCCTTTGGTTTCCTTACCAAGAAAAAAAAGTACTGCATAGGGTCAGTGGGTGATAATAACAAGATAATCTCTGAATAGCTCTTTGTTGATAAAATTATTAAGAGGGTTTGATACTGGTCACTATCCTTGTTCAGAATAGCATTGGCTTATCACCAAATTTGACTGAAATTTGAATATTGAAAGTTTAGATAAATGAAAGTTTAATTCCTTTACTATACAAAAGGCTCAGAATTCTAAACAAGCTTTTGCTTTCATCCTCCGTCTCTTCAAGAGTAAAACCCTGTTGGTGATTTTTGCATGGTTTGTGCCTCCTAATGTATACGCAGGTGGCAAACACAAGGCCCACAGGCCAAATCCGGCCCTCCACCGGGTTTTATGTGGCCTTATTTCTACGTGGTGGCAGCTCCAAGCTCTCCCTTAACTGTTAAAGAGTAGTTACATTTACACAGTCCTAAAATTACATTCGGCCTTTTGAAGGCAGTGGTGAGACTGATGTGGCCCCTGGTGAAAATTAGTTTGACACCAAAGTAGATACTCAAGTATTGATTGAGTAAATGAGCAAAAGAGCCTCTTTTGGAAAAGAGGATAATAGAACTAGGTCAGCAGCACTGCTAATTTTCCAAGGCTTTTTCTGATTCAACTTGGGAAAATGTGATATTTACAGATAATGTGGCTTTTTACAAGCAAAGCCTCTTGTCCCTGTCATCTTTTCAAACAGGTCGTATTGACTCTGGAAACATCTTGCATAAAATTTCTTTACCCCTTTCTAGTAAAATGAAGTAGTAAAATATAGCAGAACTGATACGTTGTCTTCTTGAGAAAAACATCTTTGAATTGATACTTTATGGTTAGTAAAAATGATCTTTTAATTATATTTTAAGGTCTTAACATATAATCACTTATAATTATATTACTCACTTTTTATGAACTTGATTTGAGGAAAAACATGCAGGTAATCGTATTTTAGAATTAGTGTTACTGGCTGGTGGTTGTCATAGACTTCATTGTACTGTTGAGCCCCTGGCCAAAAAAATACCCTCTTTCTATAGGTTTTAATTAATACCATCTACCAGGCAGACAAAGTAGGAACCATGTTACTTTGTATAATAGTTGAAGAACATTTCTGTGGGAAATGATCACTGGCATATTCTTTCAATATGGACTTCTCTTTATGCAAGAGAACTCGGGGTTCTTCTCTTGCGTGTTAATTTGAAATTGTAATATATGAACTAATGTAATCTGCCTTTCCTCCCACATCATAGACCAAAAAGCTCTCTTGGGTAGTAGTCGGGAGAGATTTAACCTCCCACCTACCAAATTGGGTAGGGATCACTGATACCTCTTCTGCATAAATCTATAAGAAGTAACCAAAAATTGTATATTTTTGTCTTGACTGATGAAATGGAAAACAAAATGAGGAAATACGTATTAAAAAACTTAACTCACATTCAAAAAAGATTTTAGTGATGTAAGTAAAAAGAGCTCCAGATTTTGAGTTGGACAACTTTTTACCATTTAATACCTTCTTGGAGTAAAGAAATCACTCAGTCCTGTGAGAGAACTGAGCTCAATTAAGTGGAAATAATATCCACCTCATAGGATTGCTGTAGAGAATAAAAATCAGGTAAAGCCCTTGACTACCTCCTGCGCCATTTATGTCAGGTCTGGGGTTCTGTTTAAAAGCAGTGGCAACAGGACAAGCCTGCCAATAATAGCTCGAGGTCTCTTAACTCGAGTACAAGGATGAGATTTAAAAGAGCCAAGAAACCTTAAAAACTGCATTTTCTGGGATAGAGGGTTTGTTACCGGCCAACAGATTTTCAAAGTTTTGTTTAAATGATTGAAAAACTTGCAGTATAAGGCAAAAAATGTCTTCCTTTTCCAGCAGGTACAGGAACAAAATTGTGAGTCTTAACATTCAGCAACAGTAGTTTAGTAATAGTGATTCAGTTAACTTGACTGAATCCCACTTTGTTATGCTTCTCTGAGTTTTTATCTGCCGGGGGCAGGGTTAAGGTGTGTGTTTCCCAGGCATTCATTTTTGTTTCATGCCCACAGAACTGCCATTAAGCAGGTGCATGCTAGGGAACCAGGCAGCTTTTAGGTCCTTCCTTGTCTGAATATGTTAGTAAGTGTTTTGGACTTTAAAAGCATGTATAGAATTTTAAGCTGAAAATCACTAGACAGCCCACTTATTGGAATAAGGGCTTCTCGAAATAATTCTGCAGTGTTATACTCATCTTTATAACTGAAGAGTTTTCACAGTAGGTATTAAGTATTCCACTGATGAGAGATTTTGTATAGTTGGAAAGTCTGAGGTATATAAAGTAGAAATGAGAAAATAAAGGAACAAGAGTGGAAAGGCAGATGTTTGCTCTTGGTGGTGGGAAGGGGAAGAGTAACCAACAAGTTGATCAAGAAAGATAGTATTTACCTTTTTGTTTTTTTCCAGTAAAACAATGTTTAAATAAGAATGGAATTTTCTACCTGTTCTAGTAAGAGATGCAGATGACCTGGAGATGTTTGGTGATTAGATGAGCTATGAAGATAGTTAAAAGTTAACTAAGAGGAAGAGATGAAAGGATTTGACACATTGGAATTAGAGTGAAAAAATATGACTCCCATATGGAAAAAACATGCACACTTTGATCCAACTCTTTTTTTTTTTTTAAGACTTATTTACTTATTTTTAGAGAGGGAAGGGAGGGAGAAAGAGAGAGAGAGAAACA